TCTGAGTAGGTACTATCTTTTTAAAAAGATTCTTATGACACTTATCGCAAATGTACAGGCGTGAACTTATTTTGTCGTCCTAAACGTTTTTTGTAGTCCTGAGCATTGCGTATCTTAGAAGACAATTATTCTGTATCGCTTACGACCAAAAGATGTATCTTACCATTCTGGTGTGAACTGTTCCTAAATCTGTATAAATAATAAGTAAGACAGAAAATTTGTATTTCTTATTACAGGAAGACAGTATTGAACCAATATGATTATATTTGCTGCTGTGGAAATAATGTAAGATTTAACATGCTCACTAACCTGTCTGCGATCAGAGAGAGTCGAATTACCCTTTGTAAATCTCTCCTGGGGGGGGGGAAAAAATTAACTTAAAATCAGAGGTTGGTAGACAAGATATAAAAAGTAGATGTTATATAAATAAAATTTACCCTCTGAAGGCAACAATCCTCGCCTTAAAACAGCTACGATGATCCAGCTAACTGCGCACACTGATCAATGCTTGCGGAACGACTTAACGCACTGTTCAACTTTGTGAGAATGTACGAAAAGATGTAAAAATGGCTCAACACCCCCTAAATCAAAATAAATTCAATAGTTATACATCATATACGACAAAAAAATTGTATTAAAGTAAGTAACTTACGAAAAGATGCAACAGGTCTCGAATGGCGCGTTATAATATACTAACTAATACTTCTAGGGGATAAAAAAGGCGGCCAACAAGGCCTTCTTCACCGCGAACTGTATAGATCTATTGTGCTCACTAATACATCTAACTTACAAAAAGAGAAAAATATGATTTATAATCACTGCATAAATAATTCAGGAAAATTTATGTAAATTTCATTTTTAAATAATGGCAATGGATTGTTTGCCAGCCAATAAAATATAGATTTATGATACAGCATTGATACATATAGCTGAGATTCCGCCAAATTAATTGGCGCAAAGGTTCATTTTTCCGTTAAAATTCTACCCACAATCCTTTGCGCCGTAATCCCTAAACGAGCCAAAAGGGACTTCTTCCCTTGCAGTTTGTTCCTGTCGTGACGTGACTCCGCCGAGAGGAACTTAGTTTTTTCTTCCGCGCATAAAATCCGATGTGTTAGCTTTAAGACAGCTATTTTCAGTTTAATTTTATTTTAATTTAAAATGACGGGAGTGAAATGATAGAGAAAGGTTCGGACGGAACCTAACAGGTACCGTGGTAATCTAAGCCGTCATATTATCCATGGTCTTGGCTATGTTGAGGGCGCTGCATTGTTTGCACTTTATGATGGCGTAGGTACGGCTGAGTTTGCACGTATTTGTTATGTAATGCTGCGTGTGTCTCTGTTAATGTAAACCATTACTAGAAAAGTGCGTTCGTAGTTCGTATTTTTTCCAATCAACATATTTTGTAATTTAAGGCCCTAAAGATGACCCGAATAAAGGTCGAAACGTCAGAAAAAAAAATGAAAAAGGTGTTTTTTCTAAACCACCTTATTAATGACCATATTACGATCTTTGCAATAATTCTCGTTGATATGCTATAAAAAATTCCCCCCCCCAAAAAAAAAAACACTAAAAACAAAGACAATTGTTATTCCTATATATTCAAATGTTTGAAATATGACAAGGAATAGCTTAATGAAATAATTTAAAACAGTTTACAATTCACTATTTTTCGTGGTCCACTTGAGCAATTAATATCATTCAATTAATTAATGTTTTTAGTTGAGATAAAGAAGTCAGTGTCACGAGCAGGATTCGAACCCACGACTTTCGGCTTGATGCGCCGCTTCTCTACCACTTGAGTTATCGTGGTAGCTTTGAAGTGGCTTTGAACAAGAAGCAGGTAGTCCTTGGATGTGTATTATTGAAATTAATTGTTTGTTTTGTGGTACTTTTCTATTTATTTAATTTTTTTTAAATATTTATTTACATTGTGTATTATTGAAATTAATTGTTTGTTTTATGGCACCTCTCTATTTATTTAATTTTTTTTAAATATTTATTTACCTTGTGTATTATTAAAAACGGTAAAAGCTGTAATAATACTATAAAATTTTGCAAAATACAGGAATGAACACTTACAATATAAAACCTAGTCGCATTTAATTGTCATATATTTTTAATTGACCACAAACAAGATAATACTATTCATTTTTTTAAACTAAAAACTATTGTATATTTATTAACAATTGATTGCTATTAAAGTTTTACAATTTAAAACAAAATATTATAAAAGATAAAGATGCCTTATCTGATCTCTTTACACAGATGTGGAATGCGAATAGTAAATAAGGTCTCGAAACTGTTTTGATTTTCAGGATTTGTAAGATAATGTCTCCACTACAGTATCGGTTATGGAATTTTATTCTATATTCATTTTCAAAACTTTTCTATCTTTAATTTTTTTTAATATTATTTATTTTAGTTTTTTGAAGTTTGAATTTAAATTAGGGAGTGTTATACGCTGTTGTAGTTGTTGTTGATTATTTATTTCAGTGAATAGTTTCTGAAGTTGCAATATTTGTTCAACGTTTTTGGAGACAAAGGTGTGGTCTTCCCGCTTAACGGGTTTGTTTTTAGTATTTGGATAATATGCGTTTTTTTTATATTGATGCTGTCTACCTGGATTGCCAAAATTTTTGTTTTGGTCTGTGCGATTACCAGTATTTTGGTTTCGCTGGTTATTTTCATTATGACCCTTGTATTGTGGACGAGTGTTGGGATATGAATATCTATGTCTATTGTATCTTTAATAATTTTGTTTGTTATAATTTTTATCAAATGGCCGACTGTAGTCATTACGGTAATAAAAGCAGTCACGGTTATAACATTTGCTCTGTTTTGACGTCTTGCGCTATAATAATTAAAATTTCTCCTGTTTTGTGGTGGATAATGAGTATAATTATCGATTATGTAAGGTGGTTTATAAGATCTATAATAGGTACGATATTGCTATTGAATTGATCATTATGCAAATCAACATTTTTTTAATTGTTTCTAAGGACTTCCGAATAAATAGGTTTATTGAAATTTGGAACATTTGAGTCCCATTTTCTAGCTTGTTTAATCTTATTTTCACTTGTTTGACTGACACTTCGCCCAAAGATCTGAATAATTTCAAGAGTATAATTTGTGAATCTATGTAATAATTTCTTAGTGGAGTGTATTCTTCTTGTGGGGAAAAGACAAGCTGGGATTTTAATTGTATATATTGTTTATCCGACGTTCCGTTCCTCTTCAATGATTCGGAAAAGATGTCAAAGGTAGTGTTATGATGAGCAAGAGCATTATATAAAAATTCACTAGTTTCGTGGTCCGCTTGTCCAGTTAATATCTTTCAATTAATTAAGGTTTTCAGTTGAGATAAAAAAGTCAATGGCATGAGCGGGATTCGAACCCACGATCTTCGGCTTGATACGCCGCTGCTCTACCACTGCCGAAGATCGTGGGTTCGAATCCTGCTTGTGCCATTGACTTTTTTATCTCAACTGAAAACCTTAATTAATTGTATTATATAAAAAGTTGGAAGCCATAGGGACAGATTCTCTTTCCGCCAAAATAGATAATATTAATTTAAATTTATTACAATTTCTTTGCGCTATTGGAAATAATTTTTGTAGAAAATTTATGATAGAATGGGGGTGAAATGATTTGAAAAATGGCAAAGAACGTAACTTATTTTCTAAAGTGTGTGATAAAAAGGTTTTATTTTTATCTTTTTTTGTTATTTTTTGCACGGTTAAGTGCAAAAACTCGATTCGCTAGTGGAACCGTCATGAGTTGCTTGAAGAGCACTGAAATCGGGGAAATCCTGAACATCTGGGTTAGCTAAAAAGGTTGAATTTATGTTTTTTTGGTGTTTGTAAATGTTCATATTTCTGAATGATCTTTGAAATTTCTGTTGGTTGTAAAGAGGATTCGTTTAAGGCTATTTTTAAGTTAGTAGCATTAATGTCTTCTATAATTTTTTCATGAATGTCCGGAGAGGAAGGCAACATAGATTTGCTTCAAGAGGATGGTTCCGAAGTCTGAAATCCCTCCAAAGAAGTAGGAAATTTTTATTGAGCAATATTCCTTATAGCCTCACAAAACTCTGTTTTATTATCCTCTGCACAAAATTTTTCAGCCTCTTGCGTGATAGCATTTAATAAAGTTGTTACTGTACTCTGCCTAATAGCTTCTTGAAGTTCATGTTTTGTGCAACTTTTATAATTGTGAGATAATTTCTTTTTATTTTTACCCATAGTAATTTACTTAAACTATATATAAAACAATAATAAATGGAAATTTTAAAATATGAATATAATGCAAAGTAAAATTTTAACTTCCTAACAAAAAATAATAAATGGAATTTTAGAGAATGAATATAATATAATATAATATTTTAACCGTCTAACAAAAAAATATCTTAAATTTGTAAATAAATAATTAAATTACAAAATATTCAATAATATGAACTTTTTATTTGCACGTGTGAAAGTATTGCTTGCTAACAATATTTATTACGATCTTTGTGATAATTCTCGTTGATATTGTTATAACCAGTACTCATGAATCCAACAAATTATTTTGTTTCTTTCGGGTAAAAATATGTGTTTCTTAGTGATCTGTTGTTTCATAATTTGTTGAAGTCGTGAGGACCGGTCAAGAATGAGGTAGTTTAGAAAAAATACCTTTTTCATTTTTTTCCGACCTTTTGACCTCTGAAGTCTTGATTTCTAGAAATATGATTATCGAAAAAAATTGGGAGTGGCATATAATTTTAAAACTTTGGAGTAGTTTTGTAATAGTTCAACGTCCGATTTCAATTTAAATGGCGCGGGTGAACTTGAGATAATGATAGCCTTATCAGAACTGTAATAATTTTAACAAAGTAAGCCTATTATGAGTCAGCAAGTCAATTTTATTATTTAAAGAAGAAAAATCCATTCTGTGTTCTAATGTTGGATGAAATTGTTTTTTTTTTTTTTTTAATAAAAAAAAAACGAGAACACCAGATGTTATTAGCAAAAGTTAAATCTGTCGAGGAAACCTTTTTTTAAATAAGAATCTGGTATGTTTAATATTTAACAAATTCAATTTAAAAGCTCCTCAAATCAAAAACTCAAAAACATTTTAAAAAATTCCAGGAAATTGGTAAAATAGTTCTGGTTAGTTATTTTTCATTTGTGTTATCAGTTTAACGTTCGAATCGAATCAAGTAAGCCTCGCCTTTGCCAATGGCCGCTTCGGGAAAACGTGCGTTAAATGTCTTCTCGTAAAATTGTAATGTATTGATTTTCGTGTTTGGTTGTGTTTTTTTAATTATTTCCCGTTAAACCGATAAAAATCGAGCCAAGAGGAAAAAAAAATGGGCAATGTTTACGCGAGCAGTGCCAAAAAACCGGCGGATCCGTCGTATACGGTCATGCAGCAAGACCTTTATACCGATTCGGAAAAAGGCGAACATGTCGAAAACCCCGGCTCGATGGAAGAACTGCACAAAAAGTGCAAAGGTGAGTCTGCAAAGGTTTCTTTTTTGAAAGTATATGTTTCTAAATAAATTAAGCTCGATTTATACGGCAAAGCTCAGCTCCCCGGCAAAATGCAATCTATCGCCGGATCCAAAATTCCGAAGTCACATGGTCACGATTTTTTTTTGATTTTTTTTTTTTTAACAAAATTGCTTTATGAAAAAAAATTCAGCTTTAATAAAAACAATTCCAAAAAGAAGAATTTTAATTTTATTTTAAAAAATCGTCTAATAATTAATATTTTCAGTACGTACTATTTGTTAAAAAAAAGTTCTCAGATAGTCTGATTTAAAGGTCACTAGTGCAAATCACATGATTTCAATTACATAAAATTATCAGTAATAACCAACCATCCAACTTATCCATACTTTGCATTAAAAAAATAATCATAATAATGAAATTTATTAACTGATTATACTTGGTTTATCTTTATATAATTTATTTAGTGTCACGAGCAGGATACACATCCTGATCAGTTTCCAGGCGCTGTACTACTTGATCCTTTATTCTTAATTACATTATGGGAAAATTCCCAAGTAGTACAGTCTTAAGGTAGCTCGAGACATGCGGTATTCGCTGAATGCCGTTGCTGCCAAACACTTCTCAAGATGCTCGTCTTGGCACGAGTACACCATGCAGGGTTTGTACAACCAGCCAGTTTGTGAGGTAACAGCAACCACGTATTTGCCAATTCTTCAACATACTAACCAATCATTACGGACAACAGTGAAACTTCCATTGCTGTAGCTGCTGTTTTTTGTCGTGGCTACAAGTCACAAATCTGTCGCAGATTTGCTCCATCTTACTTTCGATCAGTTTCCACGCATTGAAAACCTTCTTCCGATTTTTGTGATTCCGAAGAGAAGCGTTCCAAATTATTGGTTCAGCTTGGTAGAGATCGAGGAACTCCAAGACTTATGTTGGGCCAATCCATTCCTAACTGACAGAACTAAAGCTATGTTCTTTCATTAATACATCTATACTATATATATTATGCAGGGTGGATGACTCGAGGGGTTAAATGCCTGGGTAGACTCGTACCCTATCCCTAAAAGGTCTGGGCTTGGTCAGCTCTCGTATCATAAACCTCTTGGACTTTTTTCACAAACCTCAAGATTTTAGACCATTTAATCTCAGGGAGTGATTTGGTGATTTCTCTCCTTCAAAAGTTTCAAATCTAGTTCTAGTGTACCTATCACACTCAATGAGGTAGTGCCTTGCTGTTTCTTCTTTTATTTTGCAAAAACGGGAAAAGGGATCTGGTAGAATACCCATTACAGAGAGGTGTCTTCTCAGTAGGCAGTGGCCCTTCAGGATACCTATCAGCCTCCTAATTCCCTTCCTTGAATTAGAGAATAGCCATTTCGATTCTGCTGGTTTGATCTCCTTAACAAACTCCTTTGATTGCCCGTGTCCTGGGGATAGATTCCATTCCTTAAGGAATTGTTTCATACCCCAGTTTTTAATACTCTTTCGCTATGCTCATAGAGTGAGGTAATACCGGTTGTGGCCCAACAAACGCAGTATTAGAACCTTCTTCAACCTGGCCAGGCTATCCGCCTCTTCATTGCCATAGTGTCCTTTATGTGCTGGTATCCAAATAAGGGTTACCTTGTTCTCAAACCTTGAAGAGATTCTATTTATAAGATCTACAGTTTCCTCCACCAGTCTAGATATTGACAAATCTTTTTGTAATGACCTAAGACTAGCCTGACTGTCAGAAAAAATTCTAATACCTTTTCCCTTGATTTTATTTTCCATAAGTGTTCTACAACACACATTAATGGCCCAAATTTCTGCCTGAAAAACAGAGGTGTTATTGCTAAGAAGGGAGGAGATGCTGATACTTAATTTAGTACATGGATTCCAGCACCACTTCCTTTACCTTTGATAAGTAACCATCTGTATAGCAGTCTATGTTATGATGGTCATCGTCCACACTATAGTTATATTCACAAGGAGTGACTACTTGAAAGTACTTTTTCCCCGGAGGGGTTTTAACCTTTTTATCGCTAACGCTTAATAATTGGCCGTTAACCTTACTCAATAGTTGTAGGATTTTCGAGTGACCTATGTTATTGCACTTATGATTCCAGCTGCCTTCACTAATTAATCTGTAGCAGCTAATTAGTGCTCTGACCTTAGCCTCTATGTGCAGATGTGTGGTATTGGTTATGATTTCAAGTGCTAGGGTAGGTGTAGTTGAAAATGGTCCTGTCATCATCAAACTGCGTAGTCTACATCTATACTAGATAGGAGTAGTTTATTATTAAAACTTAACAGCAGTGTTGATTGATTACAGTTGATATCCGTACAGTACAGTTGATTACCGAATGTGTGGATGCTTTGAGTTCGGCCACTTAAAAAATATGCACTTTGAAGCAGACAAGGCAACCGAAATTAGCCGAGCATGGCAACAATTGCTCAGCTTTTGGCGAATCCTGCATGTCTGAGCTATCTTTACATAATAGTTCAAGTGCAAAGTTAAAAGTAAATCTGGTCCATAACGCGTTACAGTGTCTACAGTCATCTGTATTAAGATCTATCCTGGCTTAATCCCTCCTTTAGAGAATATTTCCTAAGCACCTTCCTTCACCAATCCTTAAACTCTCATCAACCTCACTCTATTTTCAAGCTACTTCAGTTTAAATCCTCTGTCCACTCTCTTAACACTCGATGGACCAATGACTTATATTTTCCTCGTCATGGTAAGTCCACATTTGCGAGGTCCTTCTTATCTCGAGCCGCAAATCTTTCTTTGCCAATCCGCAAAGCTGCCTCTTACTTCTTTTAAATCCCCCTGTAAATTCAATTGAGTTCTGCTCATGATACTAATTTTTCTACTCAACCGTACTTTTCATAAAAAATAATAAATTAATTAAAGTTAATAGTTAAAACTTTGGTTAATGTGACCAAATAAAACATATAATCTGATTATTATTGATACATCGTGAAAATTGAATATTTTTTACTTTCAAGCTTATCTTCATCCGTGAGACGATGATCTGACCCCAGACCGCTAAAACGCCAGAGTGCGAAATTGTGTACGTAACGAATTTGGCAACTGAAAAAAAAAAAAAAAAAAATGAATTTTATATTCTAATGCGCTGAAATCTAGTATTACTATTAATAGAATATACTAAAAAATTCTCTTGAATGTAGAATTTTGTAATAGTTTATTCAAAACGTTTGTGTGAAAATAATTCACAACAAAATTAGTTCTTCACACTAAAATTACATAATTTTTTCATCCATCTAATTCTTAAAACCACCCTTCTAAAATATTCTTCAAGAGCCTAATGTTGTTACGTAGTTGTTTGTTTCTGGCGTTTAGATTGGGTTCTGTGTTGTTATGCCCTAAGTCAGTGTAAACTCAACTGTTGTATCTTTTTTTTTTTCCAGAGATTTTCCCAGTCAACTTTGAAGGGGCCAAGATAGCGGTGCAAAAGGGCCTGAGCAACCATTTTCAGATATCTCACTCTCTAAATATGAGTTCAATAACTCCGTCAGGCTATCGGTTTGGAGCGACGTACGTTGGAACTCAACAATTCGGCCCAGGGGAAGCTTACCCTGTTCTAGTCGGAGATATCGACCCAGTAGGAAATCTCAATGCCAATATTTACCATAAATTTACTGAAAGCCTAATTACAAGGTTTCAAGCACAAGTAAGTTTTTTATTTAATTTAATGAATTTTTTTTTTAAACTTTATTTGGATAATTTCATTTCTAGGTACAAAGTAGTAATTTTGCATCACAGTTTATAGTCGATTATAAAGGAAAGAGTTATACCACTTCTCTTACTGTTTGTAATCCTGACCCTGTCGCTTGTACAGGTAATTTAACTAGGTTTATTTTTTCGCTTAAAGAAGTTAACGTTTTGTTATTTATTAAGGCGTTTTTGTTGGTCATTATTTACAAAATGTTTATAAAAACATCGACTTGGGGGCTGAAATCGCTTATCAAAGAAGTCAACAAATCCCTGGAAATCAAATCGCTGTTACCTCACTTGCTGGAAGATACACCGGTAAGATATTTCTGTTAAAGAATAAAAAAATAAAAATCCTCTGACAAAATGGATATGATTTTTTATTTGGAAAAAATTTCAGGTGGTGATTTTACTCTTTCTGGCACTGTTGGCTTAACTGGTTTACATTTATGTTACTATCAAAAAGCAAGCAATCAACTACAGCTTGGCGTTGAGTTTGAAACAAATTTTAGAGTTCAAGAGGCGGTAACTTCCGTCGGTTATCAAATAGACATTCCTAAGGCTGATTTAGTATTTAAAGGTAAATATATATTTTATTAAGGAATGAATATAATTTTTGACTTTTTTTTCCATAGGAATGGTAGATTCCAATTGGAATGTTGGAGCAACGCTAGATAAGAAATTGTTCCCTATGCCATTTGCGCTAACCCTGAGTGGGATGTTGAATCACCAGAAGAACCAGTTCCGCTTAGGACTTGGATTTATTATTGGCTGAATAATAATTATTATTATAAGAGACAATCGATTTGTTTTAGCTTTATTAGTTGCAATAATTGTTTACGTTGCAAACCACAGTCCCCTTTTTTCCACTTTGATTTTAATTTCTTTTTACGATGTTAAGATTTCAATGAAATTAAATTAAAAATAAACTTTACAGGAAGAATAATATGTATAATTTAAACCTAATGTGTACATAATATACTACTGATCCCTTCCTGCAAAGATCAATAATTAAATACCATTTCTGTTGGTATAATAGACGACTGTATTTTGTTCTTTAAAATATTTATGTTCGTGTTTTTGTACATATCTAATAAATATAATTTAATGGCATTCATTGCTCAGTTTATTAGTTGGATTAGTTTTCAATTTTTTAATGGTTTTTTTCTGAAATAGAGTAATTTTTTTGTAACGAGTCTGTTATGTGACAAATAGGATTGAATAATTTTAATACACGTTATTCAAAAAGTCTTAGAAATTGAGTGGTATTTATTAACTTTATTTTTTCCACATTTCCCCTTTTTTTCAGGGCTTGGGTACAAAAACTTTATAGTTCCAAAAAAGAAGAATCAAAAAGTCAAATAAACAATTGAAGTAGTATCAATTTTTTTTGTGAGTACATCCCGCATCCAGCAGCCTTGCATTCAAACCTGACACCTTTACCTTACAGTGGTAGCACCATGTCGACGCCACATCTCCAGTGAACTTAGAGATGAAGAAAGGGGCTGGGCTTAGGTTGAGATCGTAGTTGAGGTTAAGGCTTGAGCTACGGTAAAGGTTAGGGTCGAAAACGCCCCCAATGGTTAGACACAGCCCTCATGAATAAAGCCTTGCTTGCATTTAATTTTTACATGATGATAGTGATGGATATGGGGAGGGTTTGTGCCCCAAGCAGCCTTACGAGGCTTATTGTACTTCCTAGTTCCTTATAAACAATGTAACCGACTTGATTCCTAAGAAGTAGAATTTTCATTGATTTTCATTCCCCCTGGGTTTATAAAATTTCTACCCAACCTTGACAATTGGCTGCCAAAATAATAAAATATAAACTCAGTATAACGTTTAGATTTGGTTATTGATTATTTTATGACACTTCTTGGGTTGTGGGTTAGAATCCCGCTTTGACACCTGCTTTTTCATATCAACCAAGACCTTAGATTTCAAGTCCTTTTTTATTTATTTAGAAATCGTGAGATGCGGTCTGGTGTGATGTAGGTTTCAGAAAAACATTTTCTTTATCGTGCCAACGTTTCGATCTTTATTGAGATCATCTTCAGGGCCTGGGATTTACAAACATTGTTTACATATTACAATTACATTTTTGATGTGGAAAAGTGAATTTATACAATGCAAAATATATACGTTATATATATGGATTTTGAAGGGGTGGGGAAGGATGTCGGTATAGAAAAGACATTTTTGTATAAAGCGTCGGCTTCTTTGAGGTGAAAGGATCCTTTTTTATTTTAAACTCTTCACAAATGATTTTTCCTCTTGTTTCCACATGTTAATTTCACACTATTTGCTGTATAATTTATTGACATTAGTATTATTCTTTACACAATTCCCTATTCAACTTATTGGTTGCCAAAATATAGAAATGTTCATAATAAAAAAAAAGTAAACAGCACAACTTTTAAATTTGGTTATTGATTATTTTATGACATTTCTCTATAATTTTAATTAATTTTACTTTTAGTCTAACATATTGGTTGAGATGAGAAAGCAAATGTCACAAGCGGGATTCGTACCCATGACCTTCAGCTAGATGAGTTGATGAAAGTCAACACAACTTTTAAATTTGGTTATTGAATACTTTATGACATTTCTCTATATTATTTTAATTAATTTTACTTTTAGTCTAACATATTGGTTGAGATGAACAAGCAAATGTCACGAGCGGGATTCGTACCCATGACCTTCAGCTAGATGAGGAGTTGGTGTCCAAGCAAATCGAAGGTACGATTCAGTGGAAGGTCGTGGCTTAAAATTCTGCTCATGACACTTGCTTTTACATCTCAACCAAGACCTTAGATTACAAGTATAATTAATAAGGTCAGTTATGATTACTAAATACATATATAGGATTCCTCAAGGCTCACTTCTTGGCCCTGTTTTATTTAAACTCTTCATAAATGATTTTTCCTCTTGTTCCCCCACATGATAATTTTGCACTCTTTTCTATAGAATCTATTGATGATATTTTACACAATTCCCTATCCACCTTTGAAAATTGGTTGCCAGAATATAAAAATGTTCATCATAAAAAAAAGTAAACTTAACACAACTTTTAAATGTGGTTATTGATTATTTTATGACATTTCTCTGTATTATTTTAATTAATTTTACTTTTAGTCTAACATATTGGTTGAGATGAAAAAGCAAGTGTCACAAGTGGGATTCGTACTCATGACCTTCAGCTAGATGAGGAGTTGCAGTCTGAGCAGATTGAAGTTACAATAGCTCGTGGTTAGAGCAGCTGAAGGTCCTGTGTTCGAATCCCATTCATGACACTTGATTTTTCATTTCAACTAAGAACTTGATCCTTTTTTGTTTAAACTCTTCATAAATGATTTTCCCTCTTTGTTTCCCCACATATTAATTTTGCACCTGTGATATGGAATCTATTGATGATTCTTAACAAAATTCTCTATCCAACATTGAAAATTGGTCGCCAAAATAATAAAATGTTCCTCATTTTTTGTTTGTTTTTTTTATTCGGGAATCATTGGGATATTACTAACTTGAAATATTAATGTTTTTTTGGGTCACATAAATCGACCTTCTCAATCGATAATGAACGTGGATTTTTTGCCAACCGGTGCCGATAATGAATTAATAAAGATGGTTAAATTAGAAAAAGGAAAATACCAAATTAAAAGTACATCCAAAATCCTCTCGTCGTTTGAAAATTGTGAAAAGGGGCCGGCTCGCCTCCCGCCAAACGGCCACCCCTTCCACGGCCGCGCTCACCTCGCCGTCCTCTTGCCGTCGCGTCGCCCGTCGAATCCCGATCTGTTATCAGGTTAAGTGGAACCGATTTACTTCCAGGCAACCTTCTTTAAGCAGACTGGTCCCTGGGCCGCCTGCAGACATGTCCGAGGAGAAGGAAGAAGAGACCCTGACCCTGGTCGACTTTCTCGAAGAGGAAAACGAAATCGAACTTACGGTCCAAGATGTCCTAGGACCTTCCGATGACAAAAACTGCACTTACAACTTGGTAAACAACCAGTTTCCCTTTAACATTTCACGTTTTCAACCCCTGGTTAGATATTCTGCCAGGATTCAACCCATGAGACGTCTCACGTCACATAAAATCCAAACCTGAACCTGGAAATCCAATTGACCATAATTTCACATCAAGAAATATTTTGTTTTTTAAATTATTCTAACAATTTATTCTGTATGATGTAGCGATTTTATAGATAAACTGTAATGACAAGTTTCAACATTAGTTCAGAACACTGTCACATATTGAATTCCCATGACCTTTCATCCTCATTTATAAAAAATATCGAATTTAAACCAATATAAAACAGTGCCAATAACAATATTCCAAGTTGAAAAACAGGATTTTTAATTTTTTTTAAATTTAACTTTGTTGCCATACTTGCACAAGAACCAGAAACATTCAGTTTTTTTAAGTACTCTAGGTTCAAAAAGGAAAACTTAATCGTAAACAAATTTTTAGGAATGGGAGATTATTATAAATACAATTTACCTTATTCAATGTTAATGATTATTTGTAGATCGTGAGATGCGGTCTGGTGGACGTAGGTTTTAGAAATACATTTTCTGTATCGTGCCAATATTTAGATCTTTATTGAGATCATCTTCAGACTGCATCTCATGATCTACAAATAATCGTTGACTAATGGTCATGAAACACCACACTTATACAAAGTAATTCACTGTATTTTTCTTGTCATCCAGGTGACGATTGATGTATAAGCGCTGGGTCACTTATTGGGTTGTTTTTTGGGTTTGTGTACTTTTACAAACCTGCGAGTGAAGACGGACCCAAGTGACCCAGTGTCGGCTACGAGTTAACATTTACAACCCATGACATTGAAAAAACAAAAAATATTGAATTTAAACCAATATAAGTCATAGTCAGTAACAATATTCCACTTTGAAAAACAGAATTTTTTAAAAACAACGCACAAAACCCAGAAACATTCACAGTTTTTTTTAATAACTCTAAGTTAAAAGACTAAAACAAAGGGGGACTGCAGTAGCCAAGTGGTTGGTGTGAGAGTCTTTTGGCTCGTAGACCCCGCCTACGTGGATTCGATTCCAAATGTCACCTCTGGCCTTTTTTTCTTGATACCCTTCCCCCATATGCATACACATAACAATTGTCTCTTTGGCTAATATGCATCGATCATAAGGCCATTATTTACAAAAAAAAGTTCAAAAAGAAAAACTACAGTTCAAAAAGTACAGCCTATTCTAACCATATTTTAGAATGAAAAGATGATTATAAATACAATATGCCTTATACAAAGTAATTCACTGTATTTTTCATGTCACCCATGATGATTGTTGAACAGGTGGACAGCCAATGACATTGTAAAAATTCAAAAATATTGAATTTAAACCAATATAAAAACAGGATTTTTTAAAACGTAACCTTGTTGCCATATTTGCACAAGACCTAACAACATTTTTTTTAATTAATTTTTTTTAAAATAATGGTTCAAAAAGGAAAATTTAATCATGAAACAAATTTTTAGGAAGGGAAGATTATTATAAATATAATATACCATACACAAATTAACTGTATTTTTTTTGTCACCAGTGATGTTTGTCGAACGTGTGGACAGTATTGTAAAAATTAAAAATATTGAATTTAAACCAATATAAAACATAGTCAATAACAATATTCCATTTTGAAAACAGGATTTTTAGTGTTTTTTTTTTTAACTTAACCTTGTTGCCATACTTACACAGGACTCAGAAACATTCACAGTTTTGTTTTAATAACTAGGTTCTTAAATGAAAATTTGAATCATAAAAAAATGTTTGAAACCAATTTTTAGGATAGGTAGATTATTATAAATAAATACATTTTACCTTGTACAAAATTAATTAAGGTTTTTAGTTGAGGTAAAAAAGTCAATGTCACGAGCGTGATTCGAACCCACGGTCTTTGGCTAGATACACCGCAGCTTTACCACTGGAGCTATCATGACTTCTATCCACTCGGACACTAACTTCCCATCCCAAACCCACCTTTTGAATTTTCCCTCCTTTTTGCCATTTTTCAAACTCTCTGTGGCCATTTCATTTGTGCCGAGAATCAAATAGATTACACGACATTTGAAAAATGGCAAAAAGGAGGGAAAATTCAAAAGGTGGGGTTAAGATGGGAAGTTGGTGTCCGAGTGGATCGAAGTCACAATATAGCTCCACTGGTAAAGCTGCGGCATATCTAGCTGAAAATCGTGGGTTCGAATCCCGCTCGTAACACTGACTTTTTTTATCTCAACTAAAAACTGAAGATGATCTCAATAAAAGATCGAAACGTTGGCACGATAAAGAAAATGTTTTTCTGAAACCTACATCACACCCGACCGCATCTCACGATATCTGAATAACTATCGATTAACGGTCACTAATCTCTACACACTCAACTAAAAACTTTAATTAATTGAAAGATATTAATTGGTCAAGCGGACACGAAAACTAGTGAACTTGTACAAAGTATTGACTCGTAGACCCCGAGGTCATGGGTTTGATTCCCTCACCTCTGGCCTTTTTTTTCACGATACCCTTCCCCATAATAATCATCTCCTTGGTTAATATGCATCAATCATGTGGCATTATTTAAAAAAACAATTCAAAAAGGAAAACTTGAAACCTATTTAAACAAATTTTTAGAATGAAAAGATGATTATAAATACCATTTACCTTATACAAAGTAATTCACTGTAGTTTACTTGTCACCCAGTTGATGATAGATGAACAGGCACTGGGTTACTTTACAGGTTTGAGTAGTTTGATAAACCCACAAGTGAAGACGGAGCAAAGTGACCCAGTGTCAGCTCAGCATGAGTTCACCGACTCGTGGACCAACAGATGATTATCGAATGGGTGGACAGCCAATGATATAGTAAAAAAATATTGAATTTAAATCAATATAAAGCATAGTCAATAACAATATTATTGAAAAACAGGATTTTTTCTAAATTAACCCCGGTGCCATACTTGCACAAGACCCAGAAACATTCATAGTGTTTTTAATAACACTAAGTGGTGTAAAAATAATAATCGACACTTGTCAACTTTTAAAATGCATCGATGCAAAAGGACACGGTTTGGAGGAGGAAGATTGACACCCCCTCTCAGCAGTTTTAGGGGATAATGGCTAATTATTAGTCGGGTGATATTCATCCTGCGTTTTTTAATCTTTTTATGCAAATCATATGCCATATTTAAGGGATTTTAGTGCATATTATATTGCATATTTGAGTTTTTTTAGTTCATATGGCATATTTGAGGGTTTTTATTATGTATCAATCTGGGCTCTACTCATGATATTTCCCTTCCTGTTGATTGCACAATCAGCCCAAATTGATATATAATAAAAACCCTCAAATATGAACTAAAAAAACTCAAATGTGCAATATAATATGCACTAAAATCCCTTAAATATGCCATATGATTTGCATAAAAAGATTAAAAAACGCAGGATGAATATCACCCGACTAATATTCAGGGTGTTCGGCTACTTCACGGTATTTTTCTTGTCACCCGTGATGATTGTTGAATGGGTGGACAGCCAATGACATTGTCAAAATTAAAAATATTGAATTTAAACCAATATAAAAACAGGATTTTTTTAAACTTAACCTTGTTGTGCCATATTTGCACAAGACCTACAGGTTTTTTTTGTTTTTGTTTTTCTTAAATAACTCTAGGTTCAAAAAGGAAAATTGAATCGTGAAACAAATTTGTAGGAAGGGAAGATTATTATAAATACAATATATCATATATAAAGTAATTTACTGTATTTTTTTTTTTTTGTCACCAGTGATGATTGTTGAACGAGTGGACAGTATTGCAAAATTAAAAATTTTGAATTTAAACCAATATAAAACATAGTCAATAACTCCATTTTGAAAACAGGATTTTTAGTGTTTTTTTAAACTTAATCTTGTTGCCATACTTACACAGGACATTGCGCAATCAACAATATCATGAGTAGAGCCCAGATTGATATATAATAAAAACCCTCAAATAAGCTACATGAACTAAAAAACTCAAATATGCATTATAATATGCACTAAAATCCCTTAAATATGCCATATGATTTGCATATAAAAAATTTAAAAACGCAGGATGAATATCACCCGACTAATATTCAGGGTGTTCGGCTACTTATATTACAAACTTTGCCCATAGATTCTACATTCAAAATGGAACCAAAAAGTCCTAATTAACTATGGTCCTAATCTCAACAGTTACTCCACCTTTTCGGATTTAAGATTTCAGATTTGCTTCAAATAAACAATGATAACTTAAACTAAAAGGTTTTGGACAAATCCGTTAATACCATTGAAAATTACTTAAAATTTCCAATAAGATGTGATCAATACTAAACTTGTAAATGTTTGTGAAATAAGCGTTTTAGTAGCGAGAACTTTGAATTTTTTTTTTTTTTAAGTTGAAAAACCTACTATGGTGATTCTAAACTACTATTTCCAAACCTAGAGGCTAGCAAATTTCAGAAAACGTACTCAAATTAATATCCTTTTTAGTGGTGTAATTTCTTTTTTAATTGCTTTTTTCAAAGATTAAGAAATTGATGGATTGGTAAGGTGGAAAAAAACTTAAAGAAATTTTGAATGAATTTGTTGAACTTTTTTTTCGGTTCAAAGCTGAAATAGTGCAAAGGTTTACTTATTTACCAACATGGCTGAAAATTTGATTAAAGAATTATTGTATTCTCCGGAATAAAAGACTTTTAAGATTTGAAATGTTTTTAGTTATCTATGTGATATCTTGTTAACACTATGGCTACTTTTTCTAACGAAGAATACGCTGTTATACATATAATGCAGCGGCAGTGCGTGGAAAATACATTAGGAAGGGTGGAGAGCATTTTGAATCAAAATTAATTTTTTTCAAATAAATTCATTCAAAATGTCCTTAAGTTTTTTATTTTTATTAATCTTTCCACCGTACCAATCCGTAAACCACGGTTTTTTCTTTTCCTTCATGAATTTCTTCATCTTTGAAAAAAGTAATTAAAAAAGCAATTGCACCACTGAAAATGATATTAAATGGAGTACGTTTTCTGAAATATGCTGGTCTCTAGGCTTGGAAATAGTAGTTTAGAATTACCATAGTAAGTTTTTCAACTTAAAAAAAAATTCAAAGTTCTCGCTACTAAAATGCTTATTTCACGAGGTTTACAAGTTTAGTATTGATCACATCTTATTGGAAATTTAACTTAGTTTTCAATGGTATCAACGGATTTTTTCAAACCTTTTAGTTTTGGAGTTATCATTGTTTATTTAAAGCAGGGTCATGAAATCTTAAAAAGTCAGAAAAAGTGAAATAATTGCAAAACTGCTGATATTTAGACCGTAGTTAATTAGGACTTTTTGGTTCCATTACGAATGTAGAATCTATGGGCAAAGTTTGTAACACGAGTGACCGAACACCCTGTATTATTTGAGTTATAAAAAGTTAATACGATTTATAACTAAAAATACCAATTAATTTTAAAAAATGCAAATTTGAATTAACTTTATTTAAAATAGTTCTAACTTTCTAAATTGAATTTTTTTTAGGGTTATATGGGAAGGCAAGCACTTTATGCTTGTTTAACATGTAATTCTCCAGAAAGCCCAGATTTTAAGTATGCAGGGATATGCCTCGCTTGCAGCTATCACTGTCACGAAGGGCATAATTTAATTGAGCTTTATACCAAAAGGTAAAAGTACATACAAGTTGTACATTCGAATCATGACTAATTCTAATTATACAAATTATTTTGTAGGTTTTTTCGCTGTGACTGTGGCAATAGTAAGTTTGGTGGGAAAAAATGTAATTTAACGCCAGTAAGTTAATTTTTTATTGCTATTTATCAGGAAAATAAAGTTATTTATTTATTTTTTTAAGGAGAAAGATGACGTCAATGACAATAATAACTACAATCAAAATTTTAAGGGTCTTTATTGCACTTGTAGCAGACCCTATCCAGATCCTGAAGCCGAAGACGATTCAGATGTGATGCTGCAATGCATCGTCTGTGAAGATTGGTATCATTCTTCGGTTAGTTACAAGCTCTTATTATTTACAGGGGGAAAAATGGAAATTTTGTAACATGCGGAAAATTTTCAGCATTTAAATAACGAAACACCTCCGGATTGTCAGGATTCTTCTTTTTCCGAATTGATTTGTGAAGGCTGTACTGAAAAATTACCGTTCCTTAATTACTATTTAGATAAATCAGGTACTTTATAAATTATTTATTTTTTTAAATATAATTTTTATATACATTTTTGTTTGTTTTTCAGTTAATACTAAGTTTGAAGGGAAAGATGTTTCATCTAATGAAGAAACAAAGGGTGATGTACCTGTAAGTCTTTAATTTTCATACTTTATAATTGTTCATATTCTTTAAATTGTTTTTGCTTTCTCAGAATGTTGCCAAAGAGGAAACTAAAGTAGATGTTGAAGATACAAGTTTAGAAAAGAATAAAGGTAATTACGACATATAGTTGTAAAATAGCTTTTTATTTATTTATTCATTCATAGTAAATTTGATTAAAATTTCATGTTGTTGTAAAAAAAAAATTAAATTAACAGTAATATGAACCATTTTGTTCATCCTAGCCATCTTCCATGAAATTTTGTAATTCCATCCACCCAGAACTTACCCTTATTTAAGCGAAGAACTTTTGTGTTTTTCTGCTATCCTCAAGTGAAGTAAAGTTTTCAGGCGAATACGACGCCAGTTACAGCATTACCTTGATGGAAAACAATCTTTCAGGAATTGGCCAAAACGGGTTGTTAAGAACTTAAAATTAACAATTTGGAATAAGCTCATAATTCATTCCTTTAGATTCCATCGAATGGACAACATTACTTTCCGTCGCTGTCTTTTCCCCAGGATTTTATTCTCAGAACAAAAGAAAGGTCACACTTTTCACTTTGCCAATTATAAGTTTTTATTGATTAATTTTTAAAAATGGGTCGTTTACATTGCATTTTATGAGGGAATCACAAACGGAGATGCAATTCAATAAATTCTTCTCCAAGAAACATCCAGCTCGCAGACGTATTGAAACGCTTGTATGAGAGTTGAGTGTCTTGTGTTGTTGAGTGTGGTTTATTTGTGACAAAAATGTGTATTTGGTCATCATCATCAATGGTTCAAAGATGATGTGTCTTAAAATCAAAATTTCCACTTCTGAACCTTGCCATGTATAGACGGTGATTTATCCTAAATTACTAGTGGAACAGATTTATATGTGAAAAAAATATGTATATGTATACGCATTTATTTTTTTAACAAAAATGCAAGTAAAAAAGAAAAATATGCAAAATAAAAAGCAATTAATGAATGAATTTTATAACCTAAGGCTACCGCAGTCCCCTGAAATTATAAAATTCATTCTACATATCTCCTTGGCTAATATGCAAAGTTCATAAGGCTATTTAAAAAATGTGAAAAAGTTATAAAATGAAAGTTTAACAATCTTAAAAAAAATTCATGTACATTTTTAAAATTTCAAAAGTAAAATTACATCGATCTGGCCTAAAATATTTGTGTACCATCTAGAATAATGTTCAACATCTATGGATAGAATGGCCCAATTGAAGGCTGCAATTTCATTTGGAGCGAGAGGAATTTTTGCATTTTATTTTATTTTTATTTATTTTTAATTTAAAAAAAATAAAAATAACGGGAATTCACAACAGCAGAGGTCATATCAGCCGGTGGATTCGAACCCAGGACCTTTACCTTACATTGAAATTGTTTTTTTGCAATTTTTACAAATCAAAGTAAAAAGTAGGATGCAATTAAAACTAAATTTTGCCCGAATGTATATATTTCCACCATTTATTTAGCCTTTTCTAGGGCTAGACGTTTTGCCTAGGCGTAATTAATTTTTGAAAAGTTTCTTCATATAACAAAGAATCCACTGAAAATTCAATTTTATATTAAGCTCAGCAATTCTGTATTAAGTGTGGGTGAGACATGTTATGCGAATTAATATACGATAGAAGATATTTCTGTTCCCTTTTTCTCAAAATTTTTTGTTTGCGTCTAAAATCATTAGTTCTCTGAAAAACCTCATGTTTTTTCTATTTTGAATAATTATGTCGTTTATTTTATTAAATACGGGTCAAAATTATAAGATATATATAAATTATAGAAAAAAGTCCTCCAAATTATTTGCTTTTAAATAGTATGAGATATTGCTCTTGTGATCTCTCTTCCCATGGACGTTCTCCTGTCTCTTTGGTTTTTTGATTTTAAAATCAGGAATGTTTCACTCTACCACACGACATCAGGATTTACAAGGATATTTTCAAAGGTGATGAGATGTTCTCTGACAACTACAATGAAACTAGTTGATGATGTCATGTACGAAGTTTATGGAAAATTAGTAACCAGAAAGCAGGGAGTTGTAAGCATCGATGGTTTCAACCCTTCTGCAGAAGAAGCCGACAAGGGCATGTATGAGGCAGTGGAATCTGGAGTCGATGTTATACTCAACCACAGGCTATGTCCACCTACCTCAAGGACTACATGATCGCCAACCTCGAGGAGAACAACCCCAATTTCAAAACGAATATGAATGAAGGAACTCCTCAGAAGGTTCAAGGACCTTCAGTTCTTTACAGGAGAATCTATGGAGGTCGAGGGAATGATTGCTCTTTTGGAATATTGGGATATCAACAACGATAGCGTCCTTGTCCTCATGTTCTTCAAACATGGACTATTAGAAGAAAAGTTTTAAATTTCTCTTAAATAAATAAGAAAAGTAAAAAAACCAATAACACTATGGAGATTGTGGGTATCGTCAACATCACGAAGGGAGTTTAATTCTTCCCCCGCTGCAGAAACTTAAAATAGCCTTTGAAACAAAACACAAACTCCATATTTGAAATTATTTATTACTGATACTTCCAAAAAAAAAATTTTAAGCTTGTTTAAAAAAAATATATTTTATCATTGTAATGCAATTGTTCAAATCAGGTATACTGGGATTTTTCAGTAGTCCTTGTCATTTATAAAGGGAAAAACAGATGCCAAAACCATTGGGAAGAAGACAAAAATTAAATAAATTATTCAGAAATTTATTAGTATGAAATAAAAGTTTCATGGAATGAAAATAAAAGTTTCACAAACGGTGTACGAGGCTCAGAAAAAATATGTGAATAGATATAAATCCGGTCCCTAATCATCACTGTACATAACCCAAATTTTCCTAGCAATCAGGGCTGTGGTTTCCCTGTTGTTGTAATTTAAAATTAAAAAAAAAACCAAATGGTGAAAATGCACTATTTTTTCCTCCATTATTTAAATTAGAAAACACCTTGTAATTTAAATTAGAAAACACCTTGTAAAACACAAGATTTGAACAAAACTGACGAATAAAAGCAAATAATTATATGTAAAATCCTCCAAATTATTTATATTTTATAGTATGAGATATTAAATAAAAGTTTCAAAAACTGTACTAGGCTCAAAANTAAACAATCTGAGTTGTGTTTGCCCGTTGTGGTAATAAAAAAAAATAATAAATGACAAAACTGAACTATTTTTCCTCCATATTTAAATTAGCAAAACACCTTGTAAAAATTCAAGATTTTGAATGAACGATCTTAATTTTCAAAGTGAATCATATTAAGTAAATAAATTCAAAACAAAAAAGGGATAAAAATTGAATTGTTGAAAAATGCTATGAACTTATTTTATAACCAAACTTTTTTCAATTTTGTTATTTAATTTTTAATATTTTGCTTAGATTGTTACCGAAAAACGCACCCTTTGTTGAGAAAGATCAGCAAAGGTGCGACGTTGTGGCCATCGACATTCCGTTCTATTCTTTGCAGTTGCTCTGAATGCTTGGTAAGAAAATTCATCTCTTTTTTTTCTGTTCTAATAGTTTTTTCTTTCTTTTATTTTATTTTATTTTTTTTCTATTAGGAGGAGTACAAAAAGTACAAAGTTCCTTGGATTGCAGATGAGCAGGATACAGCACATGCCTATCAAGAAAAAGGTAAAACAGAAGGAGAGAATTCAGGGGAGAATTCGAGTTATGCTCAAGGGATGAAAGCCCTTCAGAAATTGGATCGATTTAGACAAGTCGAGGCTATTCACAGTAATTATCCTTTTATCGTCATGTTTTTACAAAATTTTATCAATTTTCTTCTTAATTTACAGATTATAATGATCTGAAGTCTCAGTTGCATACTTACCTCGCGGATTTTGTACAGCGCAAACGTGTTGTTAAGGAAGAGGACATTCACGCGTTTTTCGATTACATGCAACAAAGGAAGAAGCGGCGGATCGGAACTCCGCCTTACATGTGTTAAGAATTTTTTTTTCTACTTAAAAGAAAAATATATTGGTGTTGATTGTCGATGTAAATTTCTTAATTTTGTCATTACGATAAGAGGCATAAAACTTGAAATTGTTTATTTATTACTTATTGTAACCGTTTAATGAAATAGTATTAAAAAAAAGTTATAAACATTTCCCATTGTAATAGAAAAACAAATAAAGCCAGTTTTCTTTTTGAACGATTGTTTCTTCTTCCTGCTGTGAAACTGGTACATCCGGATATTCTGACAGTAAAAAATTATAAACGTTTTCCATTCCAAGAGAACAAATATAATAAAGCCAGGTTTTGTTTTTAACCGAGGCAGTGTTTTTTTTAATTTTTTTTTTATCCCACCATGAAAGGGATGTCTAAATTTCTTTTCCCCAGACCAAAGAACACAAAACCGTAAATCCTAGACTCAAGATTATGAAAGCTTGTCATTCCAGGCCAGTACAAGCTCCTGACCATTACGGTTCTGTTGTAGTTTATCAACTGCATACTCCACGAACCTGTAAAATTTATTTTTATAAATACAAATAATTTTTTTGTTTAAATGTGTAATAAATATAAATAGAACATTTGTCCGTTTAATAAGAAGACCAGAAAACTAGTTGATAATTTTTCTTAAGGAGCAAGTTTACAGGGAATTAATTTTTTAAAAAAATTATATAACATTTGGATGAAGAAATTTGAAAAGAAAAAAAAAGATCAGAGCTTTCATTTAAGGTAAAAGTTAAGTTAAACAAGTTTGATTAGGGATGGGGAAAAAAAACAAACATTAATTTAGAAAGTTATGTATCCTGAACATCAACGATCTTGGTCTGCTGAGTCTTAACTGGAATTGTCTGATATTTTGCCATCTTCAGTGGCTCATCTGTGAATAATTACCAAAATTCTGGCAGACAAAACCAGAAATTGCCAGGACGATCAGAGATGTTTGCAAGCTACATCACCTCATAGAATTGATTAAGTTTGGAAATGTAGAAATTTTTCACACAATGCATTTAAAAAAAAAATAATGACGTACAATTAATCGGTATATCGCTGTCAATAGTGTCTAAGAAATCGATTGAATAATTGTAATCGGCTCGCTTCAGCAAATTAGCATCCCATTTGCCCAAAGGCCTCCTGAAATGGCAATAATTATTCAGCACCAGCGCTTCGTCCATTTTAAGCCCACAGAAAGTCTCATTGGGCACGACGTCCCCGTTCGGATGCTTATAGAGAGCCCCTCTGGGCACAACAGCTCCTTCGGCAGTTGCGCTAGCGACAACTGAAGCCAGCCTGTCTTCTTCTTTCAAGACGTAAACCGGTATTTTGAACCATCTTTTTAATTTCTGAAATATAATTGTTTGTCAGTTTAGAAAAAACAAATTGAGTGTATGAAATCGACCTTTGACGCGACGGTGTCACTCCCGGCTTCGTATTCATCACCAGGGATCGGTTTATCATCCATAACATCTACTTGTAACGATTGATCTCCTTGAAATCTAGACGTTATAATCAGTGATAGATAGTTCTCCATGTCTCTTGTTTTTGGAAGCAAAACCCAATCGATGGCATTCTTGCTGTAATTTTTTTTTTCTAACTTTTGGATAGAACAAAGAAATAATATTTTACCTGTAGTAAAAGACGATTCCTTTAAGGATATCTTTAGTGTAGCCGAATGCTATATAATAGTCACAATCCAATCCCAATACTTTGCCCCAAAAATATACTTTTTTGAAGTGGTTGTCATTCTGGAGCAGTGTTAACGATGCGTGCAGCAGACTGAATTTTTCTAGATTGAGCGTGTGCCCACTCATCGCGAACATATCAACAGTCGAATGGAAATATTCAAGATCCATTTTTAAAAATTTTTCTGTTAATGTTTCACTTCAATTATTTTAAATAAAGAAGAAAAAAATCAGCTGCCCTCATGCATTTAACTCCAGATATGATTTTTTGTCATGTAATATTATTCATCTAAAGAAAATTTAAAGTAAATTTTTAATTTTATGCCTTAAGCATTTCCCACTGTAGACCAGAATATCTCATATGCTTTAATCTTGTTTATACAACTTTTGAATTTTTTACTCTCCTTTCAAAATAATCATAATTTAAAAAATAAATGTTTGAAAAAATTTAGAAGAGACAGGCAAGAACACTCAAAATTATATTCACAGTAAAATTTTCTTAAATGAATCCAACTGTTCAGCACATTTGCTTCCATGTAAAATATTTTCGAATAATCCATTTGTCAAATTGATGACATTTTAATTTAGCCATCATTGGTTTAAGGGACAGTTTTAACAGAAATTTGGTCATTACTGATTGTTTTGACGCTTTATACAAACGTTTGCTTCATTTTTTAAAATTGCAAAGTAATATAATAAATTCAAAGTCAAAATCTTTAGAACTGTCCTGATCTCTGATTTTTTAATAGAAAAATATAACATTAAAGGCAGACATCAATTATATAATTTTAAAGGCAACCTGATAGCATTCCTGGACGTTTGTGTGCCTCACCCTGCTTATAACCCTTATGGCTTTTCATTGAATAGGATGAAGTGCCAAAACATGTTTGACTGATCAACCCAGTGAGGATAGACTGGCCAAAATAACCGGAAATGACCAAATTACAGCATCATCAATGTGCATACTAGGAAGAAATTTGTCAAATTTTAACGATGCTTCTGCTGGAACCAACTTTGTGCATTGGTACAATAAAAAGTAAATTACAAATGTAATTTTCTAAGTACATTTATAACTGTCAAATCAACCTTTTATAAGAGAGAAACAAGCAAGAGCAATAATACGATCATTATTTTTGAAAATAGTTCTGTTGGATAAGCCAAATATGTGTTCCGCATCAAAATAGAGTTGCTTTAAATTAACGTATTCAGCCAGATTGATATTGTAATGAAAGTACAATTTTTAATCTGTTAAATCAAACTATTTTTAAGAATGAAACAAGGTAGAAAACTAATACGATCATTATTTTTGATAATTTTTCATTACAATGTAGAATTTTTTTAAAAGAATCAAAATGTTCAGTTTTGTCTGTTGACTGAAAAGCAGCATAATCTGTTAAACCAACCACTATTTAATAGAGAAACAAGCAAGAAAACAAATACAGTCATTACTTTTAAAAATAATTTTTTGGCAAAAACAAATCTGTGGGCTGCTTCAATCTGGCCGATTGATATTGTATTGAAAGTACAATTTTTATTATGTCAAATCAACCTATTTTTAAGGATCAAACAAGGTAGAAAACTAATATGGTCATTATTTTTGATAATTTTTCATTTGCAACTATAAAATCCGTGTTTTATGACAATGCAGAAATTTTTAGAAGAACCAAAATTTCTGTTCTTTGTCTGTTGATTAAAAAGCAGTATAATTTGTTAAAACCAACCACTTTTCAATAGAAAAACAAGCAAGAAAAGTAATACCATCATTATTTTTGATAATTTTTCATTTGCAACTATAAAATCCGTGTTTTATGACAATGCAGAAATTTTTTAGAAGAACCAAAATTTCTGTTCTTTGTCGGTTGATTAAAAAGCAGTATAATTTGTTAAAACCAGCCACTTTTTAATATAAAAACAAGCAAGAAAACTAATACGATCATTATTTTTGATAATTTTTCATTTGCAACTATAAAATCCATGTTCCATGACAATGCAAAAATTTTTTAGAAGAACCAAAATTTCTGTTCTTTGTCGGTTGACTAAAAAGCAGTATAATTTGTTAATACCAGCCACTTTTTAATAGAAAAACAAGCAAGAAAACTAATACGATCATTATTTTTGATAATTTTTCATTTGCAACTATAACATCCGTGTTTTATGACAATGCAAAAATTTTTTAGAATAATCAAAATTTCATTTCATTGTCTGTTGACTAAAAAGCAGTATAATCTGTTAAACCAACCACTTTTTAACAGAAAAACAAGCAAGAAAACTAATACAGTCATTAATTTTGAAGATAGTTCTTTTGGAAAATCAATCAATTGATTTGGAAGATCAAATCTGTGGTCTGCTTCAATGTAAATTTTTCTTTAAATTAAGCAAATTCTTAAGTGTGATATGGTATTGAAAGCATTATAATTTGTAAAATTAACGTCTGCTTAAATTGTTAAGAAGGAAGAATATTAATACAATATTATTTAAGTAATAATTGAAATGGTTGTGTGCTGCTTGCTGGATGGTCTGCATAGAGATCTGTTACTGATTGTTGTTTGATGTCAGCTGTTTTACTCCGAATTAGAATGTCAGCGTTTTCAAACAAATCGAATGAGTGAAAAAATGAAAAATTGAATGTTTTAGTCGGGCTTGGGGAGTGAAGGGGATCCGAGTGGCAAAACATTTTTGTCGGTAGTGTCAATTTTCGAATTCGAATGTGCCGGTCCGTTGCGTAGTTCTACGACCGTCCGTCGGGCCTGCGAACTGGGATCCGTCTCGCCTCGATCTTTCTCGGTCGGCCCTCTCCCTTCCTCCCTCCGCCATATTCCTTTTCTCATCTGTTCCCATTTTCCCAGTCTGGAGATCAGTTATTCCAACGTTGCTGTTTAAGCGAGCCGTTTCCGATTTAGAGTGTCGTTTTATTGTTAATTGCCTAGAGGCGAGTGATAGTTGACAAATTTCCAGTGTTATGAAGTCAGTGCGCATCCGGGTTTAGATTATTCACGACTCGCCCTGAAAAATTTTTTTTCTCTTACTAATACATCGTTTTTTTCCCGATGGCAATGTGATGGAATTCCGTAAGTAAAATTTATTTTATTTTCTATCTTTTCACCCCGACTCTTTATATCGGGACTGTTTTTCCCTTTAGAGTCGGTTTTATCCCGAAGGGGCGACGACGGGCCCATTCCCCGTTCGGTCTAGCCTCGCGTAATATGTAATATTTATTACAAGAGATCTCGCGATTTCTGATAAGGCTTTCTTTTTTATTTTTTTCTCAAAGAAAAAAAAGGGCATTCGGTATGTTTTAAAATCATAAAAATTCACAGGTCTCTTTGGGACATTCATTCTCGAGTTTTATTCGGACACGGCGAAAATCACGACTAATCTCATTTACACCAAATAAATTGAATGTTAACAGAAAAAAAACAATTCAGAACACGTTTTCAAATTTCACACCTTTTTAAAAAACGTAAGAATAAAAAAAAAAATCGAACAAAATTTATAATCAATCGACGTCGACGTACTCGTTAGATTTGAGAGAAGGAAATTACGTGCCGTGGAAATAAGAAAAGTACCCCTTGTCCTTTTTTTTTCTTTTTTCCCTTTTTAAATTTTCGAATTTTTAAGTGATATTTTTTGATGTTCGCAGGTGGCCCATAACAGTGTTCGGATAGCAGGCGTTACGGTCGTAAGATTGCCCGAACTGTCTTTAGGTGAGTCGAACATTAATTGAAACTTGCGATAAAATTGCAACATGTACAAAGTTCACTCGAGAATACATTAATGCACATTTTAAGCCCCTATTAAACTACTCACATCAAACTTTAAACTCGCTATAACGCTTAATTTCGTTTTGTTTGACCTTTTTCGATAATTTAATATCATAAGATTTCGACTTATGTGTAATATAAACGCTGTCTGCACTATGGTCATCACTCAACAAATCCTTCAAGTGAAATTTTACAAAACAATAATTTTTAACAATTTACTTTATATATTTAACTCTTATTACTAATTAAATCGGATTTAACGTCACTATTTGTTAAACTTACAATAAAATATGATATTTAATGTTCATGATCAAGGTGGCTGAGTGTTGCTTCAGTTCATCACCCAGATTAAATTTTACTACATATAACATTAATTACAACTGATGGTTAAATATATCCGAATTAATGTCAGTATTTGAAATATTTTATTAAGTTTTTCAAAATAATAAAGATTATAGTCAGATCTCTTATGCAGAAAATGTTCATGATCAAGGTGTCTTGAGTGTTGCTGTAGTTCATCACTCAGCAAATCTTTTCTGTTAAATTTTACTACATATAATATTATTGAAAACTGATTTTTAAATATATCGGAAATAATGTCAGTATTTGAAATATTTTATGAAGTTTTTCAAAATAATAAAGACTATAGTCAGAACTGTTATATAGAAATTGTTCATGATCAACGTGGCTGAGTGTTGCTGTAATTCATTACTCAGCAAATATTTTCAGTTAATTTTACTACATAGAATTTTAATGAAAACTGATGTTTAAATATATCGGAAATAATGTCAATATTTGAAATATTTTATCAAGTTTTTAAAAAATAATGTGATTACTCAGAGATTAGTCATGTTGGCTGAATGTTGCTGTAGCTCATCACCCAGGCGATTTTCTAGTTGAAATTTTACAAAAACAATAATATTTTTGGACATTAAAGGCATATCACGAATTATATAGGAATCACTGTCACTATTTGATAAATGTACAACAAAATAAAAATGATCTTTAATACAATGTTCTTGATCAAGGTGGCTGAGTATTGCTGTAGTTCATCACTCAGCAAATCTTTTCGGTTAAATTTTACTACATATAACGTTAATGAAAACTGATGTTTAAATATATCGGAAATAATGTCAATATTTGAAATATATCTAGTTTTTCGAAATAATAAAGATTGTAGTCAGAACTCTTATATAGAAAATGTCCATGATCAAGGTGGCTGAATGTTGATGAAATTTTTGTCTTACAATTAGTCTTATATATTAAACCATTATGTCGGAATTAACATCACTATTTGATAAATTTACAACAAAATTAGAATACAGTTGTCTCATGGTCAAGGTGGCTTAGAGTTGCTGCAGTTTAACTAAAAATGTTTGAATTTACATTAAACAGTTAATATTGTCTAATATTGTATAATAATTAGTGTCTGTCTTTTTACCATATTTGCCTTATTCTTTTTTTTTGTCTAAATAAAACTTTTGTATTGAAATATCGAATTTTCAATTCACTTATTAGAGCACAACGCTATGAAGTGTTAGATTGAACAGTAGAGCTTTAATTTCTTTGCTAAATCAGTATTTATTCAGGCGGAGTAACTTGCTATGACATTTAATTACACAGCTAGATAGAGCTTCTCCTTTTACATTTTTATTTTTATTATTTAATTGTGTTTGATTGTTCAATTTCAAATTCAATTTTCATTATGGTCAAGATTTCTCACAAAATTAGTGGTTCATAAAATCAGGCAAAATTTAATTATGCCTTAGACAAAAATTAAAAATGAATATATCATACAAATAGAACCTATGAACTACTAGTATATCTCTCGGTTAAAATCAAACTTCTTTTAAGCTTAAACTACTGGAAATATTTTTACATAAAAGCCCAGAAATTGGTTGTGTTGAGTTTTTTTGAAAACAGTTTGAGTGATTTTGAATTATGATAGATTAGAAATTTATTTTTATCTAAGGTTTTTGGTTGAGATGAAAAGCCTTAGATAGAAAGAATAATTAATTGGAATAATTAATATGGTCAATTATAACCACTAGACAAATATGGATTGATTAGAAACGTGATATTGTTTCGTTTTATTTTCCATGATAAATTAAGTGTTAATGAAATGTTTGACTTCTTGTTTCGTTTTATCATATTCTACATAAGAACGTGTGATAGATGAATATATCAATATTCTATTCTTTCAGATTTTTTATTCAAAAATTTTTGGGTCAGTAAATTTTCTTTTCACTTGATTGAACTATAGACACTTTTAGTATTGCTGATAATGAAATATTATGGAAAAAAGCTATTGTTTGAGCCGTTGATATAATTTTTTTTCTAATGGATTGTTTGTTTTATAAATAAAATAATTAATGTTTTAAATAAATTCGGTTACTCTAAGGTGAAAGTGTATCCCAAGGACTTAGTAAAAAATAAAAAAACAAACATGATTTTTTCTATAATGGCTAATCTAATCAAGCAATAACCGACTGTTTAGATTTCTAGAACATCGGCTTGTGCTTGTGTTGAGCTTATGTTAATTTATTAACGGGAATGAAGTGGGCTCAAACCCGCCCCAAGGAATATCGTGTACTCTGGGGGAGTGAATTTGACCTGGCTTATGTTTGTTCGGATGCTGTGTTTATTTTAATTTATTGGACTGAATGTAACTTATTTGTGTAAATAGGAGGAGTTGTATAACCCCGCTGTGAGAAATATCGAATACTCTTGGGTGAGTGTATAACGCCTGGGGAATAAAAGTAACTTATTAGCGAGAATGGAGTGGGTTCAACCCCGCACCTGAGGAATATAGTACTTTGCGTGTTACCAGACTAATTTCGTTTGTTAATTTTTGAAATGAATTTAACTCATGAAAGTAGTCCTTTTACCCTGTCGAGGAATATCGAGTACTCTGGGGGAGTGAATGTGTCTTATGGGGACCTACCCTAGTGTCTTATGTAGTTGACAAGCTGAGGTACAAATGTTAGGCTAGCAGTTTGGTACATCGACAATACCTATAAAAAAAGGTAAAAAGTCAGTAACAAATCAAGACACCTAAATGGCTGCAGGTTGAAAAATAAGGTGAAAGACCAGAAAGAAAAGTAAAACCACGCAGAGGGCCGAATATGACCTCAGCTGTTTGTCAACCCCTAAACTTCCCACATTATATATAGAATATTGGCTTTTATTGAATTTCCGATTGGGCAGATTAAATTGACAGAATATCAAAATTCTAATTGTATTTAGATAGATTAAAAGTGATTAAATTTGTTCGAGTTGAAGACTGCATTCTATTTACAAGGATTAAGTTCCGAGGATAAAACGTCCAAACAAAACAGTCATTCCAATTTTATGTTTTTAAAAATCAAATCAACCTTTTTGGGCTAAACTATTATGGTAGTTTTTTAAAAATTATAAAGGATCTGTGTACCCAAATCGCTTAAATTTAATCGGTTAACACAGGTTTAATTATATAATTAAAATTTTTGTCCTAAAGAGACGATCTCATTCTTAAATATGTAAAAATTAATATATTAACAAAACGTGAATTGTAATCAAATTGGAGGCTATTTTGAGTATTTTAACCTTTGTGGAAGATTAGATAGTGGGATGGCAATTAAAGATAAAAAAATAATTTTTACTACCTCAACTTCCCAAAGAGGAGAGGAAAGTGAAATTTTCAAAAAATTTTTTTTTTATTTTCTGCTTTAAATTCAGTTTTAGAACGCAGTTTGACCCCGTGATACTTCTTATCACCTGCCGTAATGAAATCATTAAATCTTCCGTTGTAATTACCTCAGAGGTCAATGTTGAACGTGGTGTAATAAGATAAGATTATTTTTGAAGAGAAAATATAAACAAAACAGTGAAAAAACACAAAAAAAAATTTTATAACGGCAATTTTTGAAACTATGTTTCTAGATATTCCTTAGGAGATTTTATTGTATATTTTTAATCTTTTGGTTTCCATTTGTTAAAGACAAACGAGAAATTTTTTCGATTTATGTCAGGAATACAACAATTAAATAACACCGCACAAGGATTGATTAAAAAACCAACCCTAATGCTATTAAAAATTATGTACAATTTCATGGACCTCGACTACCATCAGGGTGGCAAGTCTGTCATCTGTTACCCCAGCTAAGGCCCCCCTCTGAGTAAATGAAAAAAATAAACCCCTAACTAGCTTGAGAATTATTTTACTACATGTTATCATTAACGTATTCTATATTTTGGGAGCTGGAAAAAATAGTTTAGACCATGTTTTCAGGCTACATATCATAAATTAACAGAGCTGTGTTCTTTTGATTTATTATTATTACACGTGCATGCATAATTCTTTACTAAACCATTTGGGTAATTGACATTTTACCGGAGGACTGTACAGTTAATACAAAATAGTGTTAATAGAAAATTGGGAAAAAACAATAAGGTGATGGGCAGGCATTTTGTTAATTTTTACCATTTTGTAAACTTAATTCATAATTTTTTACAATTAATTATTCTGTATATGTAAGGTCTTGGTTGAAATGAAAAAGCTAGTAGCTATTCGAATCCCCCTCGTGTCGCTAGCTTTTTCATTTCAACCAAGACCTTACATACAAAGTATAATTAATTGAAAGAAGTAATTTGGTAAATCAGACCACTAAACATAATGGATTTAATTCACAATATTTATAAAATATATTACAGGCATACACACTTTCTTTTTTTTTGTTTCCTTCTTTTTTATCTCTCTTTCGCTTTCTCTCTGCCTCATCTCTCACTGTTTCTTTCTTCTTTTACTTTCACTATTTCTCCTTCATATTACTTTCTATCCACCTCTTATCTCTATTACCTGTTTGTTACTCATCCTCCATTATCTCTGTTTTCTCCATACTTCATATCTTCTCATTTTCACCTCCTTCTCGCTGTTCTCTTTCTCTCTCTCTCTCTCTCTCTCT